GACGGAGTTTCGCTCTTGTTACCCAGGCTGGAGTGCAATGGCGCGATTTCGGCTCACCGCAACCTCCGCCTCCTGGGTTCAGGCAATTCTCCTGCCTCAGCCTCCTGAGTAGCTGGGATTACAGGCACGTGCCACCATGCCCAGCTAATTTTTTGTAGTTTTAGTAGAGACGGGGTTTCACCATGTTGACCAGGATGGTCTCGATCTGTTGACCTCGTGATCCACCCGCCTCGGCCTCCCAAAGTGCTGGGATTACAGGCGTGAGCCACCGCGCCCGGCGACTTTCAGATTCTTGATAACCTGTTTCATAATCCTGGGCAGTTGTCAGCTAAATAGCCTTAAATTTGCATATTAAAGGAAACAACTCAGGTGAAAGTCAAGTAGCAAAATTTACATTATAATGTAGGAGAGAAAACATTTGGTGTGCTAGAGGGAAATTAAAATGGATTTAATTGCCAATTAAGCATAAAATTATAGAAATTATAAAGACCTTTTAAATATACACACACATAGACACACACACACACACACACACACACACACACACACACACACACAAAGATCTTATAGCTTTTACTTCAGAACTTTTAGCCATGAGATAAACACAAATTCACCAGCTTGCAAAAAACTTGTTGGATACAGTGGTTTTTATCTTAATAGCAAAATAACAGCAGATTTAGAGCAGGCAGAAAAGAAAAAACAGAGGAAAAGGGCACTTAGGAACTCTATAATTTGTAGGTTGATCTTAGGGCTCTTTTTCCTTAATGTAAATGTGCACAAAGACGGTATTATTTCCATTTTACCTAAACTTTGGCAAGTAGAGGTGCCGTAAAACCTATGGAGTGCTTGAAAGGGGTCAGTCTCCTTGTTTCCTCCTCATTCTTAGATTATTTCCTGCCTTTTTTTTTGTTCTTAGGAGGAAGTGAGCTGTGGCCTAGGATTTTTCTGTGGTGGATTGACATGTGCTGTTTGTGGGCAGGACTCTACAGTATGTCACCACCCTCTTACATATCTCAGTTTCTGTCTCCAGAGGAGACAGCCTTTTATCACCTCAGCCTTTTACCACCAGCCTTTTATCACCTCAGAGAGGGCTCAAAAGGCTGGGTGATCAGCCTTATATGGGTTTCCCGGATGAGCCATTTTTAAAACTAATTTTGGTTGGGGATTTCCCTCCAGGGTTGCTGCATGTTGCAAGGAGTCAACCCCCCAGAGACTCTCATGAGGTTCCCAGTCACCCAGGGGCACCTTTCAGCTGGGTGGAGCAAATGCCTTTTCTCTTTGGAGCTGAGAAAACTGTCATTAACCTATGAAAACAACAGTTAATTTCTTCACACAAATGCACACACACAAGCCAAATTAAGTTTAAATTCCGGAGAAAAAGCAATAGAGAAGACCCTTTAGAACTCATCTCAGAACTAGAATTAGGATCCTTAAACAACAACTTCAGAATGGAACAAACAACAAAAAAACCTCAACAATATTATCACTGAGCACTCTAATGGTAAGGATAAATTAAGGCCAGCTGGTTGTTAATCTTAATTTTATCCAAGACAAAGCCCAATTCAGTTACTTACTAAGGGATGAGTCTCAGGCTGAGGACTGCTTTCTACCATCCCAGAAGCAGGAAAACAAAAACAAAAACAAAAAACCCTCATCTACCTGCGTTCCATTCTCATGGAAGCAAAAAAAGTTGCCTTCCTTGTGTTGGAAGTAAGTAAAACTCCAGAAAAAGAGGACTTGTATAGCAAAATCTTTAGATCTTGACCAAATTTGGAAAGATCAGGGATTCTCTGTGTCAGGTCTCCACATGCAAGCGTGGACCCAAAAAGTCTGAAGTCCTGCCTTCCTCAGCTGATCGCACCCACACCCGCCTTCGCCATTAACCCTAATCGACCAGTGGAGCTTCCCCCAGGAGCCTCTCACCCCACCCTGCCACCTTAACTGCTCTTATGGTAATGTGAATACCCCTCAACCCATCCTGCCATCTTAACTGTTCTTATGATAATATGATAATACTCTTCCCCCCACCCTACCATCTTAACTACTCTATGCCTTACCCCACCCGCCATTGTAACTGAACTTATGGTAATGTTTACTCCTTGCCCTTACCCCCCACCACTGTAACTGATCTTACTCTGTAACACCCCCACCCCCCAAAAAATTGCCCCAACCTGTAAAACCAATTCTCTCCCTTACTCCCTTCACCTGTCCTTTCTCGGATTCGGCCAGCTTGCACCCAAGTGCGAAATAAAACGGCCTTCTTGGCCGCACAAAGCCTGTTTGGAAGATCTCTTTATTAAATACGTTTAATATTCGGTACTATTGGACGCGAATAACAACTCTGGAGGGTGTACTCTCAGACCTCAGCAAATTATCCTGTTTGTCTGAGCCATAAAGTTAGTTCATGCTGGTACCAAGCACAGATAGGAGATTTGTCAAAGGTCAGGGCCATCTCCACTCAGAATCCCTCTATGGTTACCAAAATGTGAACCCTGAAAATTTGAGACAGGTCTCAGTTAATTTACAGTTTATTGTGCCAAGGTTGAGGACATGTGCCTATGACACAGCCTCAGGGGGTCCTGAAGACATGTGCCCAAGGTGATGAGGGCACAGCTTGCTTTCATTCATTTTAGGGAGACATGAGCCATCAATCAATATGTGTAAGAAGTACGTTGGTTCAGTCCAGAAAGGTGGGGACAACTCAAAGCAGGGAGAGGGCTTCCAGGTCACAGGTAGGTGAGGGACAAATGGTTGCATTATTTTGAGTTTCTGATAAGCCTCTCCAAAAGAGGCAATCAGATATGTATCTATCTCAGGAGAGGGATGACTGAATAAAATGGGAGGCAGGTTTGCCCTGAGTAGTTCCCAGCTTGACTCTTCCCTTCAGCTTAGTGATCTGGGGGGCCCCAAGATTTCCCACATGTGAAAGGAAAACATCTGTCCTCTCCCGGTCCCACCCAGCCCCAAATCACTAAGCTCAAAGGAAAATTCAAGTTGGGAACTGTTCAGGGCACAGCTGCCTCCCACTTTATTCAAAGTCACCCCTCTGCTCATGATGAACAGGATGATGCTGAACCTGGGGTCTTGTGCTGGGGCCTTAAATGACTTTGATGATGAGAGACTGGGTATGGAGAGCTAGAGGCCCTCATCTCCCTTTCCCACCAAGACGGAAGTGTCCCCATTACTAATTCCTAGACTGTGCTGAGATTTCTCAGGTTGCAGTGTGCAGCTGGGAGTTGCAGCCTGGTGAGAGGCCTAGGTTTTAGCCTGTGAACCTGGGTCTGGCTATGTAGGCCAGGATAGCTCTGACCTAGCTCTCTGTGGGGCCCAGGCAGACATACCAGCAAAGGCCATGGGGTCACAAACAGAGAGACTGTAGTAGGATCAGGAATAACAGGTATACTGGGGCTACTCCTCCCTAGGCCTGCACGCTGGGAAGGCACTAGCAGGGCCCTGGTTTTGATGGTGGATTCTTGGGGCAGGGGCCTTGGTAATAGGGCTCTGTGAGGGCTGGGGCAGAATGGGCTATCCTGACCCTTCATAGTCAGGGTCCCAAGTGAGCAATCCTAGAGCCTCCAGGTCTTTGGTTCAGGGGCAGGGGTTTCCACTCAAGGGCCACAGGTACAGAGGGAGCAGAAACAGCCCACCCACTCGCCTTTCACTTTCCCCCTGCTCCTGAGAGAGTAAGGTTTCTAAGGGTAAGTGGGGCTATCTGAAAGAAAAGGGTGATTCTGGCTGGAGCTCGGTGCCCTGCATGGTCCTGTGCTTGACTTTGATGCAAGGCAGAGACCGGGCTCTGAAGAGGTAGGCTGGGGGCAGACGTCGTCATGATGTTGGTCTCTCTTCCGGCCGTGGCCCACGTACGACCCCTGTTCCCTTACAGTAAGGACCTTGCGGAACTTCCCAAGATGGGTCCTCGGAGCCTGGCCGCGACTGCCCTCCCATTGCCGTTGGCGAGGGGAGGCGCGCCAGTCGAGACCAAAGCGAATGGGATGACGCCACTGGAGGGCGCGCGAGGCGGCGGGACAGGGTGCTGCTGCTGCTGCAGGCTTCAGGCCTCTTCTGTCTTCTACAGCGGTCAGGTCGCAGAGGCGGAGGCAGGGGCTGTGGAGGGCCGAGGCGGCTAAGTCGTAAAGCCACGTTCCTCCTGCTGCTCTTAACCCACGCGAGGCGGCTAGCCGAGCAGCTCCCATTGCTTCGAAAATGTGAGCCTCTTCCCTTCCCCTATCTAGCCCGTCCCAGTAGGCGCCAGCCAGAGACCCCAGACACCCAAGTGTCTCGCCCCCTCTAAGCTCCCTCCCCTTTCCCTTCGAGCGGAGCGGAGGCAGCCCCGGAAGCTCCCGCCTTTCTGGACCCGCCCCCTCCAAAATCCCGCCCCTTTCCGTTCCCGCGGAGGCGGCTTCGGAAGCTCAGGTATTTCTGGACCCGCCTCTTCACCACCCCACGCCGCCCTTCTCTGGCCTCCGCTCGGCTCCGAGCTCCCTTCGCTCTAAGCGGCCCCGGAAGCTCCCGCCTTTCTGGGCATGCTCCTGCCTCCCCACACAGGTCTCCGACTCTCTTCCAGCTTCTGAGGGCTTGACATTTTACCGGAGGTGGCCCAGAAAACCTTGCAAAGATGGTGACTTAAAAAAAATTCTTTTTCGGCTAGGTGTGGTGGCTCAGCCCTGTAATCCCATCGCTTTGGGAGGACGAGGAGGGCAGATCACTTGAGGTCAGGAGTTCGAGATCAGCCTGGCCAACATGGTGAAACTCCATCTCTGCAAAAATGCAAAAATTAGCCGGGCGTGGTGGCTCAGGCCTGTGGTTCGAGCTACTCGGGAGGCTACGGTGGGAGGATTGCCTGAGCTGGGGGAGGTTGAGGCTGCAGTGAGCGGTGATTGCGCCACTGCACTCCAGCCTGGGCGACAGAGCAAGACTCTGTCTTAAAAAATTGTTTTAATAAAATACACATATTTACCATATGTACTTTTTTTTTTGAAACAGAATCCGGCTCTCTCACCCAGGCCGGAGTGCAGTGGCACACCACCTGGGTTCAAGTGATTCTTGTGTCTCAGCCACCCAACCATCTGGGATTACAGGCGTCCACTACCACGCCCAACTAATTTTTGTATTTTTAGTAGAGATGGGGGTTTCTGCCATGTTGACCAGGCTGCTCTGGAACTCCTGGCCTCGGATGATCTGCCCACCTTGGCCTCCCAAAGAGCTGGGATTACAGGCTGAGCCACCACGCCCAGCCCTCCCATGATATTTGTTAATGACCACATAATACCTTGTTGTATGAATGTCTTTTTTTTTGTTGTTTGTTTGTTTTAAAGACAGGGTTTCACCATGTTGGTGAGGCTGGTCTTGAACTCCCAACCTCAGGTGATCCGCCCGCCTTGGCCTCCAAAGTGCTTGGAGTACAGGTGTGAGCCAACACGCCCGGCCTGTGTGAATGTCTTATGTTAATTTAACCAACTCCCTATTGATGAACATTGTAGCTATTTATAAAATGCTGTAGTAAACATCCACTCTGTAGGTCTTTGTACACATGTGGAGTATATTTGTAGGCCGACTTCTTGGAAGTAGAATTGTTGGGGTAAAAACTATGTGTGTATTTAATTTGTGATTTTACCTATTTACACTCCCACTGATGACTTGTTTAGCCAAATTTATTCAAATTGTCTACACTCGCTTTCTCCACCACTTTACCTCCTACTCCATAACTCATTCTAATTTGGCTTCTCTCTATCACTGCACCTTCAAAGGCTCTAAGGGCACCAATGATCTTCATGTTGTCTGTCCAATGGATAATTTTCAGATCTCATTTCACTGCTTCTCAAATAGACTTTATACAGTTGACAGTTCTCTCCTTTTTGAAACATTCTTATCCCAGCTTCTTGCCGTACTCGCCTGGTTTTCCTCTAGCCGTGTCATCTTTCCTCTGCCCACTCTGAAATGTTGGTGCGGCTCAGGGCTTTGGTTACCATTTACATGCAGTTGGTCCACACAGTGAAGTCACTCCTTCCTAACCTTTAACTGCTTATTCGTCATCTTGAGTTGAATGTCCCACAGGGACCTCAAGTGAATCGTATCCAACATTATCCTCCCGCTTCTTGTGCTCCCATCTCAGTAACTGTTCCACTGCTTTCCAGTGGTCCTACCCAGAAACCTACATGTCATTTTTGAACCTCCATATTCCTCAATCTGTTCCTCTAATCAATCACTATGGCCCTACCCATTCTATTTCCATAATCTCTTCCCCCCGACTTTTTTTTTCTTTTGAGATAGGGTCTCGCTCTCACCCAGGCTGGAGTGCAGTGGTGCAATCACGCCTCACTGCAACCTCAACGTCTCTGACTGTAAGTGATCCTCCTGCCTTAGCCTCCCATGAAGCTGGGACCACAGGCACACACTACCATGCTTGGATAATTTTCCATTATTTCTTAACAGTGGTCA